CTGGAGTTAAACCACGACACCCTTCTAATCCTGACCCAGAAACTGTCAATGGATGTACCTTCTGTCTCATGTTGGCATTTGATACCATCCAGGAACTCAATTATATAGAGTGTCACTCTTCTCCCTCCCACCCCCTTCCTTTTGAAGCCAGTCATACCCATCACTGACCATGCCTCAGCCATGAGCCCTGTCCCACTACTTCTCTGTCGTTCAGGGCAGGTTCACAGCCTTGTGATTCCTTATGCACTTCCAGTTCTCCTACCTTGTGGTTCAGGCTCTGCAAGTTAGCGTCCAGGCACTTGAGGGAAGCCTCTGAACATCCTCTCTTCTGAGGAGGAATGTGGAAATCCCATGTGGCCTCCTTATGTTCATTTGGGCCATTTGAGCCACTACAGTGATGAGCACCAGAAAAAAGGTGGAAAGAAAGACTCATTGAGCGCACAGTTTGTCATGAGAGAAAGGAAGATACTGCATACTGTGTGAGTAAAGCCATGGAGGAATGAGTTTACCACTTGGTTTGTTTCCTGAGCTCTTACCATTTTGAAGTGCAAGGATCCTGTGAAGGGAAAACCAGTTTGTAGTCAAGTGGCTGAATCCAATGTTAATGCATGTACAGATATGCACTCTGTGTGTATATGCATGTACGCATAGGGTTGTTCTCTATTCAACCTATATAACCTTAAAAAACCAGCTATTCTTTTTACTTGATAGCATTCTGCTTTGATCCTTTCTGACAGTTGTGCCTGTTCAAATATTCCAAGATAAGTTTTGTATTGTCCTCTTCCTGAAAGAAACTTTTCAAACTTAGTAGAATACCCAACCTACTGGTTTTTAATTTTGTGAATAAATATTTTCTACATGTCAGAAAGTGTCTTTGTTAGGAATCACGACAGATCTAACAGAATGATAAGGCAGATGTTATTCTGAGTGCATTGTAAACAGTTTGGATGATTCTTCAAAAATATAGGTGGACTTGAAGCCTAGAAGTAAAAGCAGAACTCATGTTTATATATTTTTTTTAAAATACTTACTTTAAAAGGCCATTTGTCTTTTTTAAGCCTATACACTCGTTCTGTTTGTTTTTAAAGCTTGTTTCATTGTAGCATTTTATTATGGCTAAATTTAACATTTTTCATTCTAAACAACATTGTTGTAAAGTATATCCTGAAAAATATGTTTAAAATACATATATTTTAAACATGTACAGATATATACATAAAACTTATTTTTAAAATTTAGGTTTGTTGTATTTTAAGCATATTTTAAACACACATATATAACTATATATGTGTATACATTCATTATATACATATAGCACGTATATATGCTTCATAGTAAGCAAGACTGGGGCCTTCCATCTCTTAAGTAGAACATCTATTTTGTAAGTGTTTATTTTATATCATATGTAAATTAGTGCAACATGAAATTATTCTGGCAGTTACATCTAATCACAGAAACTCTGGAGAATGAAAAAACATCCCAATAATGTTCTTTGTTTTGTTATACTTTTTGCTAATGCACAGACAGATACTAATTTTTAAACTTTGGGATTTGTTTTCCAAAGAACTTACTGAAGTTAGATCCGGCAGACAGATACTTGACAGAACAATGTTTGAACCATCCTTCCTTTCAAACCCAAAGACTCTTGGATCGCTGTGGAAGTTCGCCTTCACGGTCAGCGAAGAGAAAACCTTACCACGTAGACAGCAACACGTTATCAAACAGGTAAACGTAGTCATGTCACCGTCATCACCGACATTTGCTCTGTCAACGAGTGAATTGCTTTCTTGCTTACGTTACAGAATCATCTACAAGAACAGTAGTTGTTTGACCGTTTAGGCACAGTGAGACATATATATGCTGTTTCATATTGCCTCACTGAATAAAGGAAGGAGACACAGTTTTATTGTATTATAGCCATTCAAGCTGAAATTTTTGCTAACTTTCTGCATCAGGCTAAATACTTTAAAAAAAAAAAAGATACAGAGAACATTCAAGCCATTTCTCATGTGACAAAGGAAAAATAAGTTGGCTTACCCAACTTAAAAAAATGTTAGCCTTTTTCTTGAACAACAGTAGGAATTTTGTGGCTTGGAGGATGCCCGAGATTCCAAAGGAATGCTTTTTTCTCTGGAATGCTACCATTACTGTACATGTGCAAATCTGTCCATGGTTTTGATATTTTAAAGTTAAAAATTCACACAAGTTTTTAGCAGCTAAACGTCCTGCAAACTGTGTGCATTGGTAATGCTTCAAATTGGGGATGAACAGAATTTTGTCTGCACTTGCAGTTATGAATCAAGTCTAGTCTACTTGAACTTAAAGCAGGTTGTATTTTTTTAGTGACTCCCTTGTTGGACCCACATAGCTTGAGAGAAGCCACTTGATTTTAATACAGCAACGAACTAGGTTTACTGGTGGATAAAAACTTCACTACAAAAAGCCTCGTATTCCTCTGACAAAAGCATTCCTAAGGAGCGTTCAGGGAACGCCCTCTGAAGTATGCAGAATGACAGTAGCTTTTAATCCTAGCCATGTTTGTCTTTAGCTCTCCACGGGAGATTCAAACAATTATTCCTCATTTTAAGATCTGGGATTATGACATTTACAATCTATACTTTTTCAGAGATAAACACCAAAATGTTTTAGCTGCCCTTATAGATATTTAGGGTAGAAGTTTTACCATTTGAGATGTGGCATCAAAAATTAAAACCTACATCCATGGGAAACTTCTTATCTAGTACAAAGGCTTGCCTAGCTGCTTAATTTAAAATTACTAGGTTCCTTATATCTCTAGGTTTAAAAAAAAATACTTCCTTTTAACTAAAAAATATTTTAAACTGGCATTAAAGTAGCTGATTTCTAGAAATTGTAATAACATACATAATTAGATCTCTGAAAGTGGGTAATACAAAACTCCAATGGCTAGCATTATCCAATTATAATTATCAGCAAGATCAACAAAGGTACAAAATGATCAGTACAGTGACCTCTTACCTTAACTCTCAGTAATATGTCTTGAGTTACCGCATCACAGATTTGATACAGAAACACGTTAACTGTACGTAGGCAGCCTAGGTCCATCAGGGCTAACAAGTACAGCTGCAGCGTTGCTCAATCACATCTTGTTTGCAATACTAGCCTAAGGCCAGAAGCAAAGCTGGTTTTAAGCCAGAAAACCTGAGATAATAAATCCTGTTCAAATAAATTCAGATGGAGTGTTTGCAGAACCAACTCATATCTGAGTCCCATAATCCTACAACCAGGAGACCTGGAAAGTAGAGTAGAGGTTAAGGACATTATCAGGAAGCTCTGCCCTAAGTCACTCTGGTTGCAGAGCGTTTCGGGTTCAGCTTTGGGGATGAGAGAGTGTGCCAAGTTCCACAAAAGATAGGGTTCCTGTTATAGACCTTGATTTGGGTTTGGTGTTTGTTACAGGACTCGCTCTGCTGCACTGAGCTCACTCCATCTGGATGTCTTTACTAGCACAGTATCCTCTTTTCTCCCTCCTCTTCCCCCATCCCTCTGAATCAGACAGACATTAGATGGCCTGGAGCATTGATTGTATCGGGGTTTTTTTTGACAGTGCTGACATACTTCATTGTTCTATCTTCCCTTTGATATGCCAGGTGTAATTAAGATTTTTTTCAAGGATATACAGCTAATTTTGGTAATGCAGCGCTTACATTATTGATGTATATGTATATTACCCACACACATGCATAATTGTCTAAAAATATATGTTTAAATCTCTGTGATTAGATTTTTTATCTTCATTATTTGTGTCAGCAAAATCCATTAACCAAAGCTGAGTTTGTCCACGAGGATATAACCAGAAATAAACAATAATGTGCTAACACTTGCAAATCTGTTATTTTAGTGGAGCTTATGATGCCTCGTTGGCAGTATTTGGTCTTATTGCAGTTAAATTTTGTGGCTTTACTTGGAACAGGCTGCCCAGAGAGGTGGTGGAGTCTCCTTCCCTGGAGACTTTCCAAAGCTGCCTGGACTTGTTCCTGTGTGATCTACTCTAGGTGATCCTGCTGTGGCAGGGGGGTTGGACTAGATGATCTCTAGAGGTCCCTTCCAACCCCTTTCACTCTGTGACTCCCTTCTGAAATGAGTGTACTTTTGTTGAAGTTATTAATACATGAATATGTAATCTGGTATATTAATGCTTCTTTATGCATTTTAATGTAGAAATCAAGCCAGCAAAAGTTCTGCTTTGCAGTCACACCACAGATCAAACAGCAAGGATATACAGACACTAGGGGTTGGCGGGCCAAGAGAAGAGGGTCTCCCAGCAAATGAAAGCTTTTTAAATGGAAACCTTCCTGGAGCTGCACATAGTCCAATGCATACAAAAAAATCAAGCAACACACCTGGATCTGGCAACAAGGATCTAGCCAACAATAACATGCCACACCTTCTCAGCCCAAAGGAAACCAAGGGAAAAACAGAGTTTGATTTTAATGTGGACCCAAAAAGTTCTGATGGTCCAGGCACGAAGTACCTGAAGTCTAACACCAGATCTCAGCAGAACCGGCACTCGTTTATGGAAACCTCTCAGAGCAAAACCGGGACCCTGCAACCTGGCGATAAGCACAGCCGCCACAGCTATATTGATACCATCCCCCAGTCTTCTAAGAGTCCTTCGTATCGGACAAAGTCAAAGAGCCATGGGGTTCTGACAGACTCCAAATCTGTGGGCAACCTTTCCGAGGCCAGGGCCCAAGCTGCAGAACCAAACAGCAGCAGGTACTTTCCATCCAGCTGTATGGATCTGAACTCTCCCACCAGTCCAACCGCTCCCCGACACAGCGATAACAGAACTATGCTCAGTCCGTCCGGGAGGAATAACCGCAGCGAGGGTACCCTGGACACCCGAAGACCATCAACAAGACACTCCAAAACAATGGAGGAGTTAAAACTGCCAGATCACATGGATGGAAGCCATTCCCACTCCCTGTCTGCTCCACATGAATCTTTTTCCTATGGTCTAGGTTATACCAGTCCTTTTTCTTCACAGCAGCGCCCTCATAGACACTCGATGTATGTGAGCCGGGACAGAGTGAGGTCAAAGGGCTCAGAGGGTGGCTTAAGCATAGGGCAAGGGATGGCAGCCAGAGCAAACAGCCTGCAACTGTTATCTCCACAGGTGCAGCATAAGTCACTCACAAGATCTGTTGGCTCGTCACGAGAAGACTGTACGGAAGATACTAATAGGGTTAGTTCGAAACACTGCCCGTTGTGGAAGGCTTACTGTCCTCTACTTCGTGGGGGGACAGTGTCCTGCTTTCTCTCGTCTCTGTCTGTGTGTTTGCACAACTATTATTTATGTGTCCTGTTGTAAGGCAAGGGGTGTTGGTGGGGTGTTTGTCTCGGAAGGGCTAAATATTTCAAGTGCAAAATGAGAGGCTATTTAAAAGGTAAATTTTAAAAATGGACTGTGAATGCCATTCTCTTAAGGCACTGAAATGCAAAAATTTGTTTCAGAATCAAAATTTCAAGTTCTTAGTCTTTGGTTACATTGTCTGATGTAATTTTTATCATATTGTTTTGCTCAAATAACCTTCTCATTTGTGGTTTTCTTTAGCTTTTCTTGTGTGTCTTTCTGTTATGAATGCTAATGTTAATTTTTGCAGTGAGTTTTTCGCTCACTTATAGCAGGACATTACTGCTGAAATCTCGTAATGTACTAGAGGAATATCAAAACTTGCAACGTTGCTCCTGATTAGTATGATAAACAACTGGGGTAGCCTGGAGATTTTATGTTGGAGAAGGCACTGGTAAATTGACTCCTTACTGTGGTTACTGTCACTAGACACCTTGTTGTGTTTTACTGTGAGCAGTATTTAATGAGTAAAGGAGTTAGTTCTGGGGTTGATTTACCTTCCTTACACAACACTTCTGAATTACGTGGTGTTTTACACATCCTATCTCTAAAGATGACTGCATTTGTCTTGAAATCTTTAAATTGCTGTACCATTGATCCAAATTGGAGCAAAATGGTGCAGAGAAATGTAAGAAAATGAGTGTTTGTTTCTCTGTACATACATCTGTGATAAAGTGACTTCTAAGGAGAGAACATCTTGTTCAGATTTGTTGAAAACTTGAAGGTAGTCAAAGAGCTGCAAATATTATTTGAGATCTAAAAATTACGCTTTATTGTGAGAGACTAAAAACCTCTGCCTACTTAGTTTATGTAAGAAATATGAGTAGCTGACGATAGTGGTCTACAAGTACCATAAAAAAAAAAAAAGGGAGTTTTCAGGTAGTGGCTACCTCTTCAGTTCAGTAAGGGGAAAAAAGGCATAATACTCTTTTTCATGCTTACCACACCTCCTCCATTCAGGATTATGTGTATTCACACATGAGAAGAGATGTCATCAAAATAGAAATACAGTGTGGTGGGGTTTTTTGTTGTTGTTGTTGTTTGTTTCATTTTTTAAAGCTACTTAGAAGGAATTACAGCAGCTCCATTTCAAAATGAGCTTCTCCCGCTCCTTGTGTAGTCTTTTTTTAACTCATTTCAGTCAAGTTCAATGTTACTTCCACTAGAACACGTTGCCCAGAGAAGCTGTGGATGCCCCATCCCTGGAAGTGTTCAAGGCCAGGCTGGATGAGGCTTTGAGCAACCTGGTCTAGTGGAAGGTGTCCCTGCCCATGGCAGGGGGGTTGGAACTGGATGGTCTTTAAGGTCCCTTCCAACCCAAACCATTCTATGATTCTACTTATTGGCCAGTGTTTTTAAGCTCAAACCTTCAAATAATGCTTTTAAATCTGTGTTTCAACCATCAGTCTGACAGGAAAAATACTATTCTGAAATGGACGGGCAAGTCTAAATTCACAAAGCTGTTTTTGCTTGTTTATGCTACTTTCAGTAGTAAATCAGAATTGAATTGTCAGTCGTCTTGTACCTGTAAAGGCGTTTTCACAAAGAAGCCATTCTCTGGCTCCTTCCTATCCCTTCCCCATTCCCCACCCCCCTACATTCTGCATTAGAAACAGAAAATTTAACCAACAGAAATCCCTCAGGATACTGAACTAAAAAAATCAGGAATAACATAGGTGTTCTCAGAGATTCCTTACTGTGTCCTAATATTTTTTTTTTCCCACTCAGTTCTGCGGGTTCTCGCTGCTCATATTTTGTGAGGTTTCCTCACTTCTATGTTTCTAATTGATTTTCTCTTTAGCTCTACCAAGTCTTTTTTTTTTTTTTTTTTTAATTCTTTGCTTGCCAGACTTTAAATCTTACTTTACAAAGGAGAAAAAGAAAAAAGAGACTTGCATTCAGAATTAGTTTTGGGACTTCTCAAGTCTCAGTAAAACCTTTTTTTTTTTTTTTAAAGGTTCATTTTATTTTAAATGAAACATACACAAAAGGGGGCAAGCAGAAGATGAAGTGCAAGTTGCTATTACTGTCTCGTATTTGTTACTTAACTGCTGACAAAGAAGAGCTATATTGCACAAGTAGTAATTGAATCAAATGCTTCAGCTTCTTGCAAATTTTGGAAGACTCAAACTGTGATTTAAAGGATTGTTTTAGCTCCTTTTCTCATCTTGGCACAGTTTCAAGGGTTGTTTTATCTGTGACAGTGAGGCCAGTTCTTCATTAATAAAAGGCAAAATAGATTTTGCAAATCACTCATATAGTGAATGAAATACCAATACTTAATTGTTTGGGGTTTTTTTAACCTTTGTCCTTCTTGGACATTCTAGATTTAAGTACCTATAGGGGTTTCAGTACAGTTTCCTGTGAGAACTTGTAAAGAGCATTGAATTTTATCTGGTCAGTCCATACTGTGGGAAAAGTTTCAGCATCTGGTTTATTTAAGACCAGAGTTAAGTCATATTTGGTGGCAAATTAGATACATATGGATGTTTCTAAGTGCGTACTTAAACTTTTGCTTGAAGTACCTTCCAGGAAGTACTATATTCAGGAAAATAGAGTAAATTAGAGGTAATGATAATTTTTTTTCTATCTTGTCGGACTTGACTATTTAGCTTATAGTTGTTTTTTTTTTAATTTCAGGGACTACCTCTTATTTTGCATACTGTAGATTTTGTGACTGTTGATACCTCTAGGTACTACTGTCTAACAGCTGATAAGAGATGGTGCTTTGGTGTTGCAATTATCACAAATTATATGCGTTTCCTGTTTGCTTTGTGAAATTTTCTAGTAGCAGAGTGACCAATTTCCATCAGAAATTAATTTAACAAGGCCTCCAGTAAAAAATTCCTCCAGAGATGTTACAACTACATTTCATTCACGGCAAAAATCTGAGGGTCTGAATCATGCTCAAGTCTTTAAAATTACAGCTAAGAAGCAAAATTTTGTTAATGCCATTTTGGAAAAAGCAAGCAAGCAGCAAAACCAAATAATTATTGATTACGTAGTCTGTGATTTGATATTGGCAGGTTATTAATAATGTGAAAGTAAAACTGTGCATGCTTAAGTTCAGGGTTTCTTGCCTATGTGTGTTGGGTAAAAACTGCAGATCGGTTTATAAAGCCTTTCATTTTAAATAGTCCATTGTTCTTTTGTTTAGGGTGGAGCATATCATGATCCACACACAGAAGATGGAGCATCTACTAAGGAAAATAGAATTCTGTATAATGACCCTGTTCCAAGAAGAGTTGGCAGCTTTTACAGAGGTAATTTGATGGTGGCTCTTTCAAAATTAAACAAGAATTTTACCATAGAATACAAACTAAGTAGTGGAAATGGATACAGAGAACTAATGTGAACAACTAAAAAAGCTTATTGGAAGGATTGTTAACCCACTTCCAGAGACCGCATTGACCTGCTAGGTTGTATGCAGGAACTCCTACAGTATCATACTATCTGTTTGCAAATGATAACTCACTTTAATTGAAAAGTACACCCAGTGCAATACCTTATAAAGCAGAATATAATGTGGCAGGAGGAGCTGAACAAAATAAATTAATATTACCAGAGTAAGAAGTTCATTAATGTTTTTAATTTGTATATTAAATTCTGACTGAAGTGGTATCTAAACACCCTGGTGCTTGTTAAGACATTGACAATACTTACTGATTTCAGTTACTGCGGAGCATGGAACCGTAATGTGTTTCATTGCTGGAGACCGATATTCATTTCTTTTGTTCAGACTTAACTAACGATCAGGGTTTCCTACGAGCAGAAGGACGCTTACGTAATCCCAGTTCAGACACAGTAACGTCACAGGACTGTGTACGTGCGTATGTACGTATGTACGTGTATGCGTCCGTGTCTGTATACATACACGGATAGATACTGTTCTGCTGCGGTACACAGAAGATGGTGATTTCTGAGCAGCTGCCTCATGGTTAAACCTGGGTAATCCATTTGAAAAAGACAAAGATGATAAGAAGCTAATTACTGTCCTGCAAGTGTTAGGTGGCTTGTGAGGCTCCCCTAAACCTTAAGTAGTCCCAATCAGCTAAAATTCAATTATGAGTCCCTGATAACCTTAAGTAGAGTCACAAATCTCCCTCTGATCCTCTTCAGGTTGATCAGTTGGCTGATGACCTGATTTAGACATGTTAAAATCTGCCGGTCCTTGCCAAGTGGCCCATCGCAGTATTAAAACCTGTGAGCAATACTAAAGCTTGTGCTGTTCGGAGCAATGCTTTCGGCTGTAATGTTTTGTAGCACATGCAACAGAGAATCCTTAAGAACCCTCAGTCCTGAATTGCTTTTTATAATCCTTAAAACACTCCTAAAATTGGACAGGGATTATCCTTTTTTATACCTGGTGAAACAGAAGTTCCAAAGAAGAATGAATTTCCGTAAGTCGTGCTAAGGAGCCTGTAGGTCTGGGGTTGCATTCAATTCCTTACTATAAACTAGAGGTTTCTTCCTCTGTAATTATATTTATGAAACAAATGTATTTGAGGTCACAGGCTTCATTATTGCATTGGAAAAATAATAGTGTATTCAGATAATACATAGATAATAGTGTATGCAACAACTATGGACAGAAAAAGTTACTATGGAAAAAGTGAATTTATAGTTATGCAGTTCCCAAGTACTGACTTAATACAAAGGTCATTAGCATGTACTACAGCTTGAACAAAAACTTAGATTCAGTTTTGATAAATAGCATGGTGTGATGCTGCAACTACTGTCTGACCTTTTATAATCCAGTGCAGGTATTTCTGGTGATACTTCTAATTCTAATACGTTTATTATCTAGGTATGTGTAACCTATTTCCAAAACCACAGTATGTCTGTCTGGAAAATATATAATATCTAAATTATACTA